AGGGACGCGGGCGGGGCCTCGGCGAGCCCGCCCCGCCGGCCTCCGGGACACTATGGGGCAAAGGGGCAGGGGCAGGGACAGGGATGGGGCCGGAGTGGTGCAGCCTGGCGGCAGACTTGGGCCCCTTCCCAATCCTGCTCCTTTTGTCGGAGTCCTCAGGAGTCGCCAGAGTTGGGTGGAGACCGGCCCCCCCAAACCCCCACCTCAATGCATACTTCCGGGTCCCTTAGTCCACCTTGACTCCAAAATGCACTATCTACTAGGATAGTCAGTATATTCGCATGCCTTTTCTTAAGGTACGAAGATACATGCTCTTGGTACAATGTAAATAAAAACATCGGTGTTTTAAGGGGTGAGTGGAAGACCCCAGCCATCTCATTCTTCGCGGTGAGCATCCTTGGGTCCTGCCTGGCCTCCTTATTAGAAATAGTAATAGAGCCATGACCCCCAGATCCCTCACACCGTCCTTCCTTTCCTCAGCCATCTCCCACGGAGGCCTGGAGGTTTGTTCATAGATGGTTCCCTCCTGTTAGCCAGCTCCTGAGATAGGAGCCCAGCTGGCCTCCCAGATCGACAACCTCCCCATCCCACCCTGGGAGACTTAGGTGTCCCTATAGGTCACACAGGCAGGATCTGCCCCTTCCATCTGGTATTTGATCCCCATCTGCTGGACGCCAAAGTCCTTGCTTTTTCCACTGCTCCATAAACCCTAAGACAGGCCAATCTTTTCAGCCCAGGACAGGAATGTGGGTGGCTTGGAAGAGGGAATGCAGCCACAAAGCTTCCCTCTCCATTGTGTCCCCAAGGCAACAGCCAGTCTAAAGCCCACACCAGATCCCCTACTCTGGGCCCTCCCTTTGCTCTTCATCACCACATCCACGGTTGTTGCCCACCTGCCCCCTCCACTTCTTACCTTCCTCCATCCTCTCCCTGCATGTGGCACAGTGACACTGACCAGCCTATCCCTGAAACACACCACCTTCCTTCCCACCCCAGTGCCTTGGCACATCCTTTTCCCTCCATCTAGAAATTTTCCCCCAGATCTTGAAAAGGCTCCATCCCTCAGGCTTCTGCACAAATGTCCCCTCTTCTGAGGGCCCTGCCTGACCACTCGCCTCACCAATCACTCTCCGGCCCTTACTCATCCCCCCTGTATTGTTCTTAATCACTACTTGATGTTATATTGTATAATGATTTGTATATTTGCTTTTTGTCTGCCTTGCTCCACTAGGATGTCAGCAAATTGAGGGCCGCACTTTGTCTTTTTTCCCCCTGTATCCCCAGTTCCTAGAGCAAGACCAAGCCCACAGGATGTGTTCAATGAGTGTACATTGAATGAATGAACAGCAGCCCTGAATGTGGAATTGAAAAATGTTCATATTCACAATCGTCATAGTCAATGTCTGGTGCCTACAAAGGAGAGGGAAGTATGTCTCCCACCTATAGAAGAATGAATATTCCAGAAGCAACAGGAACCCAGGCGCCTGGAGTGTGTTAGGGGTGAGGTAGAGGAGCTGGGGAATTTGGGGGTAAGTCCTCCCTTCATCCTCTCTGGCCTTGGGTGTGCATGTTTCATCCAACACAAAACTCTCCTTTGTGGGCCAGCTGGAGACTCCTTTTTATCTCACAAAACCCTTCATGGCCCTACTTTTTCTCCTAAATAACAAGTATCCATTATGAGCAGCGTTCCCTGCTGGGGCCTTGGAGGTAGGGCTGGCCCACTCTCCAAAGGTGGGGTCTGGAGTATGGACCAGAGCTGAAGGCAGGTGTCTGGCACTGAGGTTTTAGTCCCTGATCTACCTGCCCCATGAAAGGGCTTTGAGACCCCCACCTGGGAGAAGGAAGAGGGGCACTCTGCAAAGGGGTCGTAAGTCCAGACCCTGCCCTCAGGAAGTGTGTACTGTAATGGAAAGTGGAGGAACAGGCTGTGTGGTGGTGGGGACCATGCCTGGTGGACAGAGTGCTGCCACATGGGCTCTGGTGGGTCAGTGCAGGTCCCAGGCCTGAGTGAGGCCTGGGGGTGTCCACTGGCACAATCGAATTAATGGCTAACAATTATGAAGCACTTACTCTGTGCCAGGCAAGAATCCAAGCACTTCATAGGGATTAATACTCCTAGAAAATGGAATCCCCACTTTACAGGTCAGGAAACTGAGTCCCATAGAAGCCCAGAGCCTGGCTGAACGTCACACAGCTGGTGAGTGGTGGAGAGCCAGGATTCAAACCACCTCTGAGCTACACTAGGAGCTGTGGCCTAACCCCACCCATGTGTCTCCAAAATGGAAGGCTGGCTGGAAAGGTACCTAACAAGTGCTCAATAAATATCTGCTAAATTAGTGAATTCAACAAATTTGTGCCTGTCCGGAAATCTCTATTCCACCAGCCTCAGTGCCGACAATTCTAGGAAATGCTACAACTCGGCTAGTATTCTCACCACCACCACCACCACCACCCAGTGCGCTGCCATCTCCGGGTTTGGTTAATGATCACAACAGCCAAACTTGCAAGGGGAACATTATCACCTCATTTTACAGAGGGGAAAACAGAGACCTCTGAACCAGAAGACAGATCTGACTGCGCCATTTCAGGCTGCCTGTACAGGCTGCTGCCTTTAAAAAAAATGCAAGTACCCCTGGGAAGGGTAGTATGTAAAATGTTATTGTCACTTACAGTTACTGGTAAAGGCATTTCTCAGCTTCTAAAGGTCACAGTCCTGAGCTAAGGGGAAGGGTTTTGGGGGGGGCATTGAAGAGGAAGAAGTTCATGATTTTGAAGCCCTGGGGGTTGAAAGAAAGCTGGGTGGGGAGAGTGCCAGAAGAGAGTGGTGGGTGTGAAAAGGAAGTGGGGTAGGGCTTGAAAATAGACCTTCAGTACTTCCTACTTTTTCTAGCAGTGTCTGCAGCTTGAGAGCGAAGAGGTTGGCTATGTTCCAGAGACACTGCGTGACCTCCAAGGGGCCTGGGCTATCTCTGGAGCCACTGGTCCCCAGAGTTCTCTGCTTCGACATCCGCCCATCTCTGCATCTGGGCTGAGTGTATAGAAGGGGCTTGGTGGTGACAGGATCAGGGCACTCTGGACCTCAGCCCCCACCACAGTGAGGGGACAGGTGAACACTAGTTGAATCCTTAAATGTAGCAGACCTGGAAGTCCCCTGAGCTGCTCAAGGCACAGAGGTGGCCCCATACTCCCTCAGGCCAGGGAATATGCAGCCCAGAGCTGGTCACGGGCACAGCTAATCTCCCCTGAAGCTCACAGGATCCCAAGTGCCTCCTCCCATCAATCCCGAGCCCCAGCAGGGACATCCCTGGCTGTCAGTGAAGGAAGAGCCTCTGTTCACTGAGCCCCTATTGTGAGCCAGTTGCTGCCAGGCACCTCACACACTTTCTCATTTAATCCTCACAATGGCAGATGAAACAGGAGCTCGGGGGCGAATCTGTTTGTCCAGAGTCACCCAGAGCCTGACTGGAATCCAGGCTTGCTAGCTCTCACCTCTACTCCCATCACCTTGCTGAGTGAGGGAAGTCCTGTCCCAGCATCACTGCCTCTTGAAGGCAGGGGGCTGGTGGAGAGGGCTTGGCCATGCCAGGCCAGCCTGTAGACTCCTAAGACCCTGGACTCCTGATAGCTCCTGAGTGCCTCCCTTCTCTACAGGGACTCCCTCCTTCGGCTCCTGGTGCCCAGGTTAGAGGATGGAACAGGAAGGAGGGGAGGCAGGGAAGGATAAGGGGAGGTCAGATCAAGCTGGGGAAGTCAGCCTGCTTGTCTTTCTACTCCAGGACCAAAGCTAAGGGGGAAAATGTCAGTGGGGTTTGGGGGACATCGGAGGGAAGAGCCCAGCAAGGCACCATCGGCTGTGATAGCTCAGGGGCGCTCGGGCCCATATGTGTGGGCCAGGCATGGAGGAGCTTGCTGGGACCTGGGCGGGGCTGCGAGGCTGGCAACAAACTGTCCGGGACTTTTGGCTGCTTCATGGTCACTTCCCCCGAGTCCACCTGCCAGGCCCAAGGGCCTTGCTGGGGTGCTCCACGAGGACCCCTTCCACAGCAGCCCTCCTCTCTGACTGGCTGGTTCCTCTGTCTCCCTTGGCTCTTCTGCTGCCCTGATGGGCCTGGACTTTCCTGGACCCTCACGTAGGGCCTGTACCCGGGGCCTCCTCTTGGGGGACGCTGCTGGGGCTTTCTCCCTCTGAGGCGGCAGGTGTGGCTGGGTTCACAGGGACCTCTGGGGTGGAATCCATGGATGGGGCAGAGGAGGCTTCATCGCAGGGGCTGGGGACTGGGCTGGCAGTGGGCCCAGGGGTCTGGGCCTCGGGGCTTGCCTGGGGCTGGGCCACAGGATCCAGCTGGGGCTGGGCCTCATGGTTCTCCTGTGGCTGGGCCCTGGGGTTCAGCTGAGGCTGGACCACTGACTCTGACTGTGGCTGACTCATACGGTTTGCCTGTGGCTGAGCCATGGAATCCAACCGTGGCTGGGCCACGGGGTTCTCCTGTGGGGGGGGCTGGGGTTCACCTGTGGCTGAGCCTCAGCCGTGAGCCCTGGCAGAGTCTGATCACCAGAGTCCACGTGGGTCTGTGGCTCAGCTGGCGTGAAGCTGCCTGGCCGCTCCTCACAGACAGCTGCCGCGAAGGAGGAGAGCAGCTCGCGCAGCAGGGCCCGAAGGTCGGCACTGGCCAGGAGGCAGAGGAAGGGGCTGAGGCAGCTGTTGAGCAGGATCAGGTAGTCAGAGTAGACCAGAGCCTCCCAGAGCAGGTAGCCGGGGTAGATGTCCCACAGGAAGGCCAGGTACAGCAGCTGCGCCAGTTGGTAGGGCAGCCGCAGGACCACATAGGCTGACAAAATGGTCTTGGCCACACGGGCAAAGCCACGGCAGGCCATGGACCTAGGCTGGTGGCAGTGGCAGGTCCTGCAGGCAGCGGCCTGGGTAAGCATGTGGCAGACGAGCAACAGGAGAAAAGGCAGGAAGCCCCCCAGGATCTCCAGCATCCGCAGCGGCAGCTCCTCGCTGTCCCAGAAATCCAGGCAGATGACCAGGTCGTACCACCAGACGGCGGCCTCAGGGAAGACAAGCCAGGGCACGCTGAAGAGGGTAGCCAGCACCCAGACCCCGGCAGAGACCCAGAGGGGCAGGCGGGCTGGACGATGACCAGGGTACCAGCGTGGGCACAGCGCCAGGAGGCAGCGGTCCAGGCTGAGGGCTGCCAGTAGGAAGAGGCCGGAGGAGTAGGACACACCCCACAGGAAGTAGTAGAAGCGGCAGGCAGCCGTCCCCAGAGGCCAGTGCCCTCCATGCTGGATCTCCAGGATCTGGAAGGCTGCTGCCGCCAGGAACAAAAAGTCAGACAAGGCTAAGCTGAGCAGGAGCAGGGCGAGCCGTGTGCCTGCTCCCTGCCGGGCCTGCGAGCCAGCCAGCCACGCCATGAGCCCATTGGCTGGCAGCCCCAGGAGCAGTAGGGCCACCAGGAAGACCGTGTCCCAGCCACCCTGGGGGTAGTAGTCCTCGTCTTCAAGCTCTGTACGGGACCCGTGACCCACGGCACCCAGGTTAGCTTCCATTGCAGTGTCCATCTGAGGTCCCCAGTGTACCACCGGACATGGAGTGGGCACCTGGTAAATCAGTGAAAGCATGAATGACTGATGAGAGAGAGGATGCTGTGCCTCTCCATGCAAGTCACTATTTCTCTCTGGTCCAACATCATTACCTTTGGTGTGATAATCTTTTGCCAGAGTCTTTAAATAGATTGCTTCACCTAGTCCTCATAAAATCCACTCTACAGGTAAGGAGAGGAAGGTTCCCAAGGTCAGAGGTAGGAATGTGGGCACCAGAACTCAGACCAACCATTCTGCTACAGGGCATCCCATTGTGTCCAAATAGACTAAACCAGAGGTTTTAAATATATTTCAATAAAATATTATAGTGGGATTCTTTTATGAACTAAAAGGGTGTGCTCAGATTAAAGGAGGGAGAGCATCCTTAGGGCTCCAGGGAACACAGTTTAAAAGCCCCTTGGTCAGAGCATCGCAGGTTCCTTTTTTTCTGGCATCCTGGATTCAAGAGTGTAAGAGTCGAAGTGGGGAGGGCTCAGGGTCCCGTGGGCTGGTAAAATCCAAGGGTGGGTAAGGAGTCTGGGGCAGAGGATGGCTCTCATTTGTTCCGTGGGGCTACTAAACAGAAAAGGGGGCAAGAGGCTCAGCAGTGTGGCCAGGATAAGGGTGACTGGGTCCTAAGAGGCCTGCTGCCCCCGCCCCACCTTCCCTAGCTGGGGGAGGGAGTTTCCCTCTGAAGGTAGGGAAACCAGATGCCCCAGAAAGGCTCCATACTGCCTGTAGCCCATGGCTCCGGCCACTTGACCTTTAGCCTAATGGTCTCCCCACCCCTAGTGCTCTTACTCAGGCAGTCCCCAACTCTGCCAGCTCCAACCCCTACTGGATCAGAGCCCTGGGCTCCCTGGGCCCCGACTGGTGAGGTCTGGCTTACCTGTGAAGTGCAGGCTGCTGGCTGGAAGGAGCACGGCGTGCCTGCCTGCCTGCCCGGAGGTCTAGCTGTCCACACGGCCCCACGCCGGGGCCTGCTGCATGGCGCCCGGCGGCACGAAGGCGGCCGGCATGAAACCCAAGCTGAGAGGACATCAATCATTCATGGGGCTGTTTGCCGGGAAACCCTAACCCCAGCCCAGTAGGGCCAAGTGACCAGCCAGGCACCCACCAAACCTCAACAGGGCCAGATGGCTGAAACCTCCTCACCTTGGGCCCCTCCAGATCGGGCAGGCTCTGGGTCCCCCTCGTCTGACGTCACTCCTGTGACACTCCCATGATCCTCAATCATCTGTGATTCAAGGCCTCTGTGATCTGGCCTCTCTTCCTCAATTTCACACAGCCTCTGCTCCAGCCAGGATGCCACCCATGGGGGTCCACAGTGGGCAACCCTTCCTCTCCTTTCCCACCTCCCAGCCTTTGCCCCCACTCTTCCTCCCACCTAAGAGGCCTCCCCATGTCCTCACTTAGCTACGTCCTGCCCACGGCACACAACAGGGCTGAGTCTTCGACTCTTCAGCAATATTGTCCCCATTTTATAAATGAGGCAACTGAGGCTTAGTGACAAATTGCCAGGTCTCCCAGCTTATAAGTGGTAGAACTGTAGTCCGAAGCGCACAGTGGCCACTGTGTCCTGGCACCCCATGTTGCTGAGAACTGTTCTCTTGACCCAGCTGGCTCTGCCCTGGCCACCCCCAGGCAGAGGGCCTGGATTAGGGCTTGGGCTGCCTGCCTCACTTACCCTAATCCCCCTCAGGGCCCCATCCCTGGCCATCAGCTCTCAGGTGGGGGTGCGTAAGCAGCTTTATGGGTCCTGGGATTCAGGGTGCTCTCTAGTGCTGTGTCTCTGAGCCCCGTCACCCCTTCCCACATGGCCACAGAGCAAGGGAGGGGACAGCATGGCTCAGCCCCAGCCCCCAGCCCCCAGGCTTCCAGTAGCGGTGCTGAAGGGCCCCCCTTGACCAGGAGGAGGAGCAAGAAGGAGAAGGGGCTCCGAGGGTCCAGAAAGAGCACTGGCAGCTCCGGGGAGCAGGCCCCCACACAGGGCCCCGAGGCCCCGGGAAGCAGCAAGAACCCAGCTAAGACCGGAGAAGGGCAGGAAGATCCAGCCCCTGCAGCCCCCGGGCGGGCCTCTCGTCGCCAGTCCCACCGGCATCGTCTTGCCCCCCAGCATGATGCTGCTCAGAGGACATATGGGCCCCTGCTGAACCGCATCTTCGGGAAGGTCAGGTGGGGCCTGGGCAGGGCAGGGTTGGGTGCTGCGGGTGGGGATGGGGACTCCTGGCCTCAGGCTCAGTCCACCCTGCCCCTAGGATGCAGGCCTGGGTTGTGGGGGTAGGGTTTCTGCAGTTTGGGGAAGGGTAGGTCTTGGGCAGCTTGGGCAGTGGGTGGAGCCAGATCTCAAACCCAGGGTTCTGTGGGAGCTTGGGGCCCCAGGAGCAGGAAGGGGGTCACCACTTCTCCTGAGACCCATGGGACTTCAGTTGCCTTCTCCCGCCCTTGTGGGACTGGCTCTGCCCAGGCCAGCACGGGCTGGGGCTGGAGGAGGAAGGATGGCCAAAGCCCTGGCTGGCCCCGGCGACATGTTGGACTCTGCCCCTGCAGGACCGCGAGCTGGGCCCGGAGGAGCTGGATGGTGAGTGGCCCTTGCTGGCAGTGGCGGGTGGGAAGTATCCCAGAGCCTGGCTGCCTGCCTCTGACCTCCCTCCCCTGCAGAGCTTCAGGCTGCCTTTGAGGAGTTTGACACAGACCACGATGGTTACATCGGCTACCGGGAGCTGGGCGAGTGCATGCGGACGCTGGGCTACATGCCCACCGAGATGGAGCTCATTGAGGTCTCCCAGCACGTCAAGATGCGAAGTCAGTGCTAGACCCCCCTCGGCCTGGGGTGGGGTGGGGCGGGGAGGGTGGGAGCCACCTGGCTTTGCAGCCCAGGTCAGCTCCACCCCAGAGGGATGGTGGGAGGTGTCTCTGGGAGCCCAGCAGGGGTGATGATGGAGTGAGGGGGGTGGCAATTTTCAGGATAGTTTGACATTGGCCAGGAGACAGGGGGGTTGGGGGGCAAGGAAGGCATGGGGTGCCAAGAGAGGCCCTTGGGGCTCAGACTGAGGACCCCATCTCTAACTGAGACCAAGTGGTCTGTGCTGGTACCAGCCACCTGGGCTGTCTGTCTGTCTCTCTGGCCCTCCCAAGGCTCCTGAAAAGAGTGAGGACTAGTGTGACAGAGTCCTTACCATTCCTTGCAATTAAATGTCCAATGGGCTGCACCTGTGTGATTAGCATGAGCTGATTTGTCAAATATCAGATTCCCTTCATCCCAGGACACCTGCATTTGGTTTTTTCTTTACAGTTTCTAAAATAGGATCTGACTTACAATTAATGTGAATATTTAGTGTCATAGTTCTTTATTTTCCTCAAAGCTATTAATTGATCATTGATACTTTTTATAATTGATGGCATCTTAGAATCCAGGGACTAGGTGGGTATGCTCCTAAGGGATATTTACTGCTGCCAATGAGGTTCCAGCACTTTATAGCTATGAACTCCAACCCCAACAGCACCCTGTCCTTGGATGAGGAGGGAGGTTCAGTAAGTCACCCAGGTCCACATTATTAGTGGCAGAGCCAGGCCTTGAACCTGGGGCTGTCTGGTTGCACAGCCCAGTCTCTTTCTCACGTACTTGGCTGCTTTGCTGAGAGTACTTCCTGAGCATTTCACCTCCAGCAGAGCCCTGGGCTGCAACCTCCTACCCTCCTGGGGCCATTACATGGGTGTCCTTCCTGGATGCAGAGCTGGGGAGTGGCTGGCCCTCATGACATCCCTCCTTGGGCCCCAGCCCTCACCACTGTGACATTTTGCCTGGGTCTGCAGTGGGTGGCCGCGTGGACTTCGAGGAATTTGTGGAGATGATGGGCCCGAAGCTGAGAGAGGAGACGGCGCACATGTTGGGGGTGCGGGAGCTGCGCATCGCCTTCCGTGAGGTGTGGAGCATCCTCCAGGGTGCGTGGGTGGCTGGGCAGTACCCTTACTCGCCTCCCACTGAGGCCAGGGGAAACTGGGAGCCTCAGCCTCTGGAGCCCAGAGCCCTGCAGCTGATGGGACTAGGGCCAGGGAAGGGTCAGAGAGGGTTTGGCTCACTCCCAGCTTGGTGATCCACCCAAGGAGACTTCCTGGGGCAGAGGGGCTCACTACCTCTGCCTGGGAGGAAGAGGAAGGCGTAGATGGACAAAGATAGGGACATCCAGGCACAGGATGTGGCAAGGTGGAGGTCGGTGCAGGTCAAGACAGCTTTGGGTAGGAGGGAGTGAAGACTGCTGGAATCCCAGTTTGACAGGGACAGGGATGGGCGAATCACGGTGGCAGAGCTGCGACAGGCAGCACCGGCTCTGCTTGGGGAGCCGCTGGTGGATCCTGAGCTGGACGAAATGCTTCGAGAAGTGGACCTCAATGGGGATGGCACTGTAGACTTTGATGGTGAGTCTCCTTCCCAGACAATCCCCCCCCAACCCCCCGCATCCCTGCAGCTCCTAAGCTGAGCCCAATGCGTCCTGGGATCCCTGGCTTGGACCAGCCCAAGCACTGCCCCTTTTCTCCCGCAGAATTTGTGATGATGCTTACCACCCACTGAGGCTCCAGGAAGGAGAATGTTGCTCCTCTGGCCCCAGACACCAGCAGGGTTCATGCTGCACACCCTCCGCATGAGGCCCCAGGATGAAAAAGACCCAGCAGCCCCAGACTTCTGTTCCTGACAACATATGGCAAGAGAGTTGGCTTGTGATGTCACCTGCCCAGCCTCGTCCTCCCCTCCCCTCCATCTGATCTGCCTGGAGGAACCCTGTCCTCAACTACCCATCATTCCCCAATGTGAGCAAGACTTGGATCTCTCCAGCCCCCGGGGAGGTAGGGAGCTCCCTGGCACTGGCAGCTTTCAAAGATGGGGCAGTGTTGGGGGGGTATTCTGGTAATATGGTGAATTGAGAGAGTGGTTGGACATCTCCCACTACTTATGTGTGGATATCTTTATTTAAAAAAGAAGAAAGCTGAACTTGAAAGAAAGAGATGACCCAGGTACCAAAGACAGAGAGAATCCAAAGCTGGGTGGCGGGAGGGAGCAGATGCCACAGGGCCTTCAGAGGAGGGGAGGTTTGGGAGCCTAGGCTCTGACACTCAGGAGGGACAAAAGACCTGTAAGAGGCTGGGGAGCAAGACATAACCTCAGTACATGCCAGGACCTCAAAGAGGCACCCTATTCTTGAAAAGGGGATCAAAATATACCTCTACCCACCAGCCTGAGAAAGTGGCAAGGAACAGATGTTCAGGACCTTGAGTGGAAAAAGTTACCCTAGAGAACCTGAAACTAAGGCCTGCATGTCAAGCAGGAGTGCAGTCCTCACAGTGTGAAAAAGCTGAAGAAATAGGAAAAAACTGCTGAGAAGGGCACTCTTTCAACCCAGGGCACATGGGATTTAAAAAAATACCCCAAATTCTGTCACTTCTGAAGATGAACTCAGGACAAAAATTACAAAGCACATAGGGAAACAAGTCACTATGAGGGGACTAGGCAGATGCAGTAAACAGGAGAATCAGCAAAGTGTAAATAATAAAACAATCAAAAGAGACTATTAAGTCAATGAAAAAAAAGAGAGAGAGAGAGAGAAAGAGAGAGATAAAAGAAGGAAGAGAGACCAATATGCAGAAACAGTGTAATATGAAAATAGAAAGATTAAAAAACAATAGAACTTCTAAAACTAGAGGATATAGTTATTGGAATGAAAAATCAAGGGATAAATTAAACAGCAGATTGGACACAATTTTAGAAAAGATTGTGAACTGGAAGCTACAGCTAAGAAATCACCCATAAGGTAGCACTGAGGGATATATTAAAGAGTAGTTAAAAGTCATTAGGAATCTCAGAAGAAGAAAATAGAGAGCGGGCATGAGGCAACAAAGAGATGATGGTTGAAAATTTTCCATAGAGACTTCCACAAAGACAAGAGCCCAGATTAAAGGAGTACATTGGAGCCAGAGAAGGAGAAATAAAAATAAATGTATTTCTAGATGCATCCCAGTGAAACTGCAGAATATAAAAGGAAAAAATCTTGTAAAGAACTCAGGAGAAAAGTCAGATTACTTTCCAAGGATTAGCAATTAGACTCTCCAAAGACTTTTTTCATTGACAACAGCAGATGCCAGAGGACAATGGGATAAATCGTTCAATGTGCAGAGGATAAATGACTGCCAGCCAAGAAGCCTATACCTAGCTCAATCACTAGTCAAGAATGAAGATGAAATATAAACAAACAAAGGCTACTATATTCGATATCTTGTAGCAGCTTATGTGAAAAAGAATATGAAGGTGAATATATGTATATTCATGTATGACTGAAGCACTGTGCTGTATGCCAGAAATTGACACAACATTGTAAACTGACTATACTTCAATTTAAAAAAAAAGAGTAAAAAACAAAAACAAACCAGTCTCAAGGGCTTCCCACCTACAAAGTCTTGTTGAAGGGCTGGCTTCAATAAGAAGGAAATTCAAGGCAGAGTGTGTACTAGGCAGCAGGAAGGAAATCAGTAAACATATCCGTGTATCTAAAGAAGCATTAACTATAAAAAATAATTTGGGGGATTTTAAAAACAAGGAGGGGCTAAAAAAATAGACAAAAATAAAATAAAAGATGGGAGGGGATACTTTAGACACGCTGAAGTCTTTTTCTTGTTTTTCCTGGAGGAGGATAGATTCATTGATTAACTTTAGACTTTGTTAACTGTGTAAGGGGAACCATTAACATAACAGAAATTGAGACAGAATGTTCCCTTCAATAGTCAAATCAACAAGAATTCTTGATTAAGCTAGTAGAAGGCTGAGAAAGAGGAAAAAAGGCAAAGAAAAACAAAATCTATAGAAAACATTCAAATAGAAGGTAGAAATAATGCTTAAAAAACCAAAAATTACAATAAATATAAGCAGATTAAGTCATTTGGTTAAGGAGGGAGGGTACAGCTCAGTGGTAGAGCGCACATGCACGAGGTCCTGGGTTCAATCCCCAGTACCTCCATTAAAATTTTTAAAATAAATAAACCTAATTACCTGCCCCCCCAACCACACCCAAAATATAAACAAATAAAAGGGAAAAATTATTCAGTTAACAGAGTCTCAGTCCCAGAAGGAAAGACTAATATTAGATTGGGCTCTCTGTAAGTGACAGAGGCCCCAAATAACAATGCCTACACTGGATGGAAGTGTATTTTCCCCAGAGTCTCAGGTGAAATCCAGCTGTAGTGTCTGTAGGGGCCCAGGCTCCTCCTGCCGGCTGCTCTGTCATTCCACCAGTGTGCCCACGTTTATCTGTTTTCCAGCTGGCAGGAGAGAGACAGGAAGAAAGAGGAAAGGGGGAAAAGAGCTTGACCCACTTATACCCCAGTAGGCAGGGCTCCCCACCTGGTACGCCTAGAAGCTAAAGATGCTGGGAAGTGCAGTCTTTGAGTGGCCTTGTGCCCAGCCAGAAACCAGAGGTTCTTCTACTACAAGGGCAGAGAGCAGATCCCAAAAGGCAGATACTAGGCTCTTCCTCACAGCCGAGTGCAGGATATGAGACACATCTGAAGCATAGTGACAACTGAAAGGCTGAAAGTGATGGCTTGGGCAAAGATTTACTAGGAGAGAATTAACCAAAAGAAAGCTCGTGTGACTCTAGGCATGTCAGACAAAATGAGCTCTGGGGCAAAAAGCACTAGGGATAAACTGAGTCACAATTCACTGAGGAAACCTAATGTTCCTAATCCGCATGCAACTCAGTGTGTTTTCCAACTAAAAGGAATTCATAGAGGTGCGGTATTCGTTATTGCCTGAGGATAGTGTTGCTGTCAATCAACTTGGATTAGATCAATTAACCAGCAAAAATCAAGTACATTGGTCACATTGAAACTTTAAACCTTGCGATTCAGTGTTCTGTCAACATGTTCACATAGACCAAGGATTGGTAAAAAGCCAGATAGTATAGATTTTAGGCTTTGGGGACCATGTGGTTTCTGTAGTTTGTATGGCTGAGCGCCAGAGTCAACATATAGGTGTGGCTGTGTTGGAAATTTAATTAATAATAACTAATTAAACTTGGTTTATTGACACTGAAATTTGAATTTTATTAACTTTTTTGTGTCGTGCAATCTTATTATCCTTTGACTTTTACCCAACCATTACTAAACTGTGAAAACCATTCTTAGCTTGGGGGCTGTACTGGGCCTATGGGGTATAGCTTGCTGACCCCTGAAATTGTCTTTTTTTTAATTAAAAAAAATTTTTTTTCTGAAAGTCTTATAACATGGAAAAGCACCACTTCTGGATCACTTTCTGTTTAGTTAAGATTGTGAAATTATGAGTGTAGCAGCAACTCTATATTAATTTGCTAATTTGCCCACTTTAAGTGAATGGTTTTCATACCTTGTTCTTTTTTCCCATGTTTGTTCTGATTATATCTATTGAAATGAAATTTTAAATCTGATTAATCTGGTAATACAAACTGTGGGCTTTTATTATGTATCTTTATTTCGCTTTTCTAATTTTTATCTTACAAAAGTATTGGTCCATGATGCATTAGAAATGAAAACTGGTCCTTTCGCCACAGCTGACTTGAGAACCACGGATTTGGGAGTTCCTGCATCCAACTGGTGCCCCCTAAAGTGCCTTGATTGGTGGCTGAGGGTGGGGAGTCTGGGTCGGCCAGGAGAGCAGGAGCAAGAGCAGGGGTCTGGGTGTTCATCCTTTCAACAAAGTCACAGAAATCTAAAGGCACTGTCCTGGCCGCTGCAGACACAGTGGAGGCCAAGCCAGGCAAATACCTTCTTAACGGCGCTCACATTTTACTGGGAAGACAGACTGTAAACATGTAAGTATGTGAACAGGGTCTCCCGAGCCCACACTCATTCAGCCAGCCCCTCAGTTGGTCAGCTGGGGGCCAGACCAGGTTAGTGACGCCCACCTTGCTCTGAGTCACGAAAGCCCTGCCCTTGGCTGAGCCAGTCTCTCTGGGCCTCGGTTTCCTCTGAGGATTGCCAGAAATGACCTGTGTTAAGTGCTTAGCACAGGACCTGGTGTCTCCTAAGAGTTCAATAAACGGTCGCTATTATGATCTCAGATTTCAGGGTTCTCAAAGATTCTGTTTCCTGGTTATTGAGATTCTGAGATGCTTGGACCTTCCAAAATTCTGAGATGGTCTGTTTCTAATGTTCTGTGGTTCTAAGAGTCTTTGCTCACTGAGGATTTCTGTTATACAGGCACTGCTTCCTATGTCCTTTGCCCTCCACTTCTCCCAACCCCAGGGCCTGGGAACTAGGGCAGTGGGTGGAGGAAGCCAGGCTGCTGCCTGGTCGTGGCCCACATTCGGAGCTGGCTGTGGCAGCCCAGGGCCCCAGAGCCAGGCTGGAACCAGAATACCAGCCAGCCTCCAGGCCCCATGCCTGCGTCATCTGAGTGCCTGTGGCCAGGGCCACTAGGGCAGGCACCAATACTGCCCCTCCAAGTGAAGATGGAGCAGGACTGACTCTGCTAAGGGCTGGAGGAGCAGGGAGACTGGGAGAGCCTCCTCCAAACTTGCAGGGCAGAAGAGTCCCAGGCCCAGCTCTGCCCCACCACACTGTGTGACTTCGGCCAAGTCTTGGAGCATCAGGACTGTCCTGTGTACAGTGGGGAGATAGACAGTCTTGGAGACCCTCAGCTCCAGGGTCAGGCTGGTGGGCTGGCCGGGGCTACTGCGAAGCAAAAAGCAACCACTGGCTGGAATTAAGCACCCCTTTTATTAGCACAAAATATCACCAACCCAGCAACCCCAGGGGCCGAGAATAAGTTAAGGCACAGAGCAGGGAGGGGGCGACTTTTGCAGGCCCGAGGCCCGCATGCCCAAACTTCTTGAGCAAAGTCCCCAGGGGACTGGGGGCTCGAGGGTCCCGGAGGGGCTTTTCCCTTGAGATGAGGGCCCCAGGGGCGCCCTCTAGGGGCGCGAGGAGGCCGCACCGGGCCTCTCACAGCCGACGCTGGATCCCGCCGACCGCCGGCAGTTCACTTCTCGAAGTAGGGCAGGTAGAAGAACTGGAAGCCCCGGTGGCCCTTCACCGCACAGTAGATGAAGATCACGTGGTAGACTGCAGGGCGGGGTCTGTCAGCGCCGGGGCCCCGCCCCGTCCCGCCCCGCCCCGCCCCGCCCGCGCCCGGCGCCCACTCGCACCTCCCGGGACCAACAACAGGAAGCCAGGCACGAAGAAGATGGCGCTGGAGACACCTGCGGGATGGGAGGAGGGCCGGGTCAGGGCAGGGCGGCTCCCGGGCGGGACTGCGGGGTCACTGCCTGGGCAAGTTTCACTCTCCGAGGTAAAAGGGGCCGTTTCCTGCCGGGGGGGGTGCTGAGTGCTGGGGAGGTGTAAGGGCTTGCCAAAGACCCCTGAGCACTGGAGGGGAGTGAGCGCTGCCTGCGGGGGTGGGAGGGGGCACTCACCTGGCGAGGGGGCCACCTCCAGTCCCACGGCGATCAGGATCAGCACTGCACATAGACGAAGCCGCGAGGGTGAGGGAAGGAGCAGGGGGGCAGCGGCAGGTGGCAGGGTGGGGACCTCCACCCGCAACCCCCAACATGGCTTAGGCCTGAGGAATGGTGTCCCCCACCTGAGCTGAAGGTCCCCTGGGCAGAGAACCACCCAAGCTCACCAAGCTCTGTGCTTTCAGAGCAGGGCACCTGGCAGGCCCTGGGAAAAGTCTGTGAAAGGAGAGATTTTTGTCTGCTTCTTGGTGTGGCCTTTTCATCAATCAACATTTAATGGAGCAACTGCTGAGTGCCTGGTACTGGCAATCCCGTGGGGGGAAGGCAGATGAGGTCCCTGCGTTCATGGCCCTTCCCTAGTGGAGCAACTGACAAGAACCTCCCTGGTGATCAGGCAGCACAGGAGCCTGAGAGATCATGGAGGGCTTCTTGGAGGCAGTAGCATCTAAGCTGAGCAGAGACAGCAGCAGCAGTAGGAGTTACCATTTAGTGACCACTTAACAGG